GTCTCTCTATACAAGTAATTAAGGGAAAAAAAAGGTAATAATAATCCCATGAACCCACGGAACCAATGAAAAAAATAAATAGCTCAAAAAAAGAAAATAATCCGCAACAACTCCACCCCCCCAAAAAAAAAAAAAAAAAAAAAAAAAATGCATCACACCAAAAAATTCCCCCTCCCCCCCCCTATCTTCTCTCCCTGTCTCACCTCCCCCTCTGTATTCCCCTAGTCTAGAGGTATTCACCAGGGTTCTGAATATGTAATAAATCTCTATGAGGGCTATGATAGAGTGAATGGATCCAATATAAACCCTCCAGACCACGACCCCCAGCATGGCAAGCCCATTAAGCACAGATATGTACAGCAGGAACCTGACTCCGCAACCCAACTCCGTGTGGTCGCTCCGACACTACGGGATCGATGCCATGGCGATATATCTAGTCGACCCACATTAGCTTATAGAAAAAAAATTGAAAATAGTATTGGGATTGGTAATGTACCTTTATTCTCCACGACACTCCTATCCCGAACTATGGCAGTGTACTTGACTACCCAGAGCGGAGCCACTGTGGCTTTGGGCGTTGACGTACACTCGAACATCCCACCCTCGGAAATTACCCGCTGGAGGCCAGGTGCTGTTAGAACCTCGCCGGAGTCATTGTGAGCAGTTGGATCCCTTCGCGCTTAGCGTAGTGATTAGTGCGCGGGGGACAACGCAGCAGTCCCGGACGTTGATTTGGACGACGGAGGGGCGGACTCGAGGGGGGAGGAGGTGGTGATGGTGATGGTTGAGGAGGGGGCAGCGGTGGTAGATATTGTGGCTGAGGGGGAGAAGCCGAGACCATGGAGCAAACGGGATAAACAGGAAGAGCCAAATTCAGATAGGCCGATGCGAGAGATGAGATTTGAGTGAACGAGGGATTCTAGAGTGGAGTATGTTGTAAGGAAAGATTTCGTCTCCTCATCTACCTCCCCTCCTCCTGCTGAGCACCAGCTATAGTGTCTCTGGGTACTTCATCCTCCGCATCGAACCCCACCCCCGGAAAGGCCACATTCAGTAAATCGATCCTCTCCACCCCCAACACCTCACACACTAGCTTCACCGCGTCGAGGGTGTGCTGGTTCCGATCCTCAACAGGCACGTTGGGCAGATAGAATAGCTTGACTGTGAGGTCATAGGCGTCTCGGGATTCGCTGAGGCTGGGCCGGGTGGGGGAGAGGGTGGCTGGGGCGAGGACCGTTCCCGTAGGGAGGTGCTTCGTCCAGGACGAGGGGCTGTGGGAGCGGGCGTGCTGGAAGGTGGTAAGTGGGTGATGAGGAGCTCGGTGGAGGTGGTGCTGGTAGGGGTTGGCGGGGGGAGGGAGCTAGTGATGATGTTACCGTTGCGGAGGAGGAGGAGCCTGGGGGCGGGAGCGGGAGTGGCCATGGTTGGTGGGGGTGCAGGGTATGTGGATATCGAAGATGATGTGTTTGGTTCTGGCGTGCAATTCAATGAAGGAGGGGCCACCAAATACGTAAAAGTATCCCAGACGAGCTCTGCGGATCCAGATGCCTCGTCCGCTCGCCTGTTCACTCGCTTGTTCCGGTATTAAATCGGCACCCGCCTGCCGCTTACCCTCAATTGCAATCGCCATTACCAATCCGGCGCTGAGCACCTCCCGCGCCGTGCCGGGCCGGATCTTGTCTGATCATCTCGCCAGCAAGTGGGTAGTTCAGTCAGTCATACATAGAACAATCATCACGAAGATACATAACGGCCAGACTGCGCAAGTAGCGCCCGAGTATTAGTATTCGATTTCCGAGTATTCGATCTTCGAATCCTAGCAGACCATCATTCTCGCGAAACAGGCAAAAGGGGAGTATATCGAGACGGTGAGTGCCGGCTAGCGGCATACTCTGGTGAGTCCTTGGCCACCTGAAAGAGATCGGCGGCTGTCCCAGGTCAGGGTGGGGAAGCAAGCGTGCGCTGGCTTGAATCTACAACAACCCCCCCCGCAGACAATAATCCAGGCTGAATGCACCGCACCGTCCCCGGCGACCTCTGCCGCACCATCCCCTCCAGTAGCTCCTCCTCCAAACGTGGCCATCGCAATCGGCCGGTACTGCTTTCTCTCCCGCTCCAGCATCCTCCGCGCACCATGCAAGATCCTCAGAAGCCAGTTCAGCAACTACCCGATTGGAGACCATGTTTTCGTGGGCGAGGGGAGTGTGGTTGAGGCGGCAGTGGGGGAATTGGGTTAAGATTGGGAAGGATGGCGTTATTGTATCTTATCTCCTCCCTGGGGTGGGGTGTGTGGGGTTAGCTAATGTTGGGTGTACGTGGTAGCTCAAGTTTTCAATCATCAAGGACTGTGAGAGGAATAAGGATGGGCCCATTATAGCTCCATATACGGTCATTCGCTTGCGAGGGGCAGGCAGGGCTTGGTAGTGGAGGAGCTGCCAGAGACGGCGCTGGAGGGGTTAGATTGTGAGTTTCTTGTGCTCCTAAGCTTTGGGCTTTACATTCTGGAGAGCTGTTGAAGTGTGCTAATGAGATTGTGATATCTATGGTGAAGCAACTCTACCGGATGATATAATGACAGAAGATGAAATTCGACATAGCCGAGGCAAAGGATACATTCGGAGGACTATGGGTTGGCAAGATTGTACTCGCCTCTTGTTTCTTTGGTCTTTGATCTTGATTAGCAGGTCATTCGTGTGGAGCCCTTGCTGGTCGGTAGGTCAAGCTCCGGCGGTGGTACCGCTGTTCGAAAAATATGTGCATATACACAAGAATATACCTACCTATCTGCCGCATGCTTCATGTTCCCAACATCCTTCCCTTGGACTAATGCATACAGGCCTTGCCTACCAGATCAGAGTCATACCTGACTCTGGTTATGTTTTCCATATAGACAGGGTATTTTTACCGGACGGGGCAAATTCTCATCTAATGTCAGCTACGGAATTTACACAGGGTCACTGGCTACGTACCGCTCACCAACCACAAATACAATCACATATTCAAGAACCATACCAGTACTCCAATCCGCAAATAAATGGGTTCGTTCGAATTCATGCTGCACCGCGACTGCTGTGATTTGTTTCCGGGCCTCCGCACAAGGGAAGAAAGTAGCCTCGTACCCAGGTTAATATTTTTGTAGTTCGTTACCCCGTAACTCCCCCATATCAACAGCTGGTTGCCACGAGGCTAGGAAGAAAGGGCCACCTGGAAAATTTTAGGTATCGATGGTATCTGGAAACTTTAGTCTCATGCCAAGACCCGAAACTTCTATGTTCTAACTATATCTCAGCTGCTTAGTCACGCTGTCGAATGACGCAGTTAACATCACATGAGCACCATGTGGTATGGTACATCACAAACTAGGCTGAAGTTTTTAGCAGGAAAGTTTTATGTTGTATATTTACAGAAGATCGATTCGTTATTGTTAGGTCAAATGGCGCAATGGTAGCGCGTTGGTTTTCGGCACCAAAGGTTGCAGGTTCGAGTCCTGTTTTGATCGTATATTAGAGCACAGGATTAATGGGCTGTGCCGGCCAGGCTATTAATTCTGTGATATAATATAACCTCATTTTTTTGTTCAAGGTCTGGGTTTTCAGTCTGTGGGCTGGTAGTAGTCTGGTAGACTGGTTGGCACAACACCCTTCTGTAGTGGGCTGGCTAATAAACATCTTCTATGTTATACTGAGGCTATTGAGACAAATTTTCCGGCACGTGCACCCCGTAGACAAAGCTGCGTAGCTCAACGTCAAGCTATTGCATTTTTAGTAATGCGGATTTGCAGAGTCTGGTCTCGTAGAGAGGGTTTAACATGCACTTGGGACCATGCTGAACTATCATATATAGTAAAATAGTTTAAGGAGTGACCTTCCAACCCTTATTCCCACCGTTACCACCTCTATTCATTCCAGCCAGGATGGTAGTGAGTTCCCTACATTCACACTGATTTCTCAGGCAATTTGGGCAGTGATATCTGCGCTGAATTTGGACCAAGATTATGTGCTTATCTAGACAGACACATTTCTAGGCTGATTTAAACATTGATTTCTAGGGTGATTTCTTTGCTGATTTCCACGCTGATTTCCAGGGCAATTTGCCAGTGATTTCTAGAGCGATTGGGATGTGATTTCTAGGCCGATTTCCACACTGATTTCCGGTAATTTGGGCAGTTAGATGTAGGCTGATTTGTACGCTGATTTGGTTCATGATTACGAGGAATGTCTCGACAAGGTCCACTGTATACTCTTTTTCCCCTGTCTCAGCCACCTCTTCCTCTTATCCATCTCCTCCTAACTATTCCACCTTCTGCCGATCACCTGCCCCTACTACACGATTTTGAGCTTATATGGACGGTGATATGCGAACATTCAGTCTGGCGGTGGTTTTAGCCAGAATAAGGTGGGCATGGAGGGTCGCCAGGGCTACTTCTGATCAATAATGAGATAAATTCTTTTCAGGAACCTTACTCGCCATCAGCACTGAGATCCCCTCGGGTTTCCCGGGGGGGGGGGGGGGGGGGTTCGTCATCACCTCCCAACGGAGGAGGTGAGGTGCACACGAACCAGAACTGAGTATTTTTTTCCTAGAAAAAATATTATACAGTAGGTTTCAAAGGTATGCCACATGCTGCAACCAGACTAGCCACATGCCACGTACATAAATGTTTTGGGGAGCAGTTGGATATACAGTGGATACGAGAGGTTCCGAGGGGTTGTGCAACCAGACTAATAATACGAGAGGTTGTGCAACAAGACTACTTTTGGAGTAGTCTTGTTCCAATTCGAAAGCGAACGACAGACAGTAGTAGAAAGTATGTAGTCTGGTTGGTAAGCAGAAAGAACACATGATAAGGACCTAAACTCCAAGCAATCTTGTGAGGGGGGTGCCACTTTTAAGAAAGATTTCAAGATTTCATCAATTGAATTATTAGAATTTCTGAGATACTTATGTCATGATTTTTCCATCACCATCTCTATCTTGTTAAACCATATACATTTATTTCAGGTCAAATGGCGCAATGGTAGCGCGTTGGTTTTCGGCACCAAAGGTTGCAGGTTCGAGTCCTGTTTTGATCGTTATATTTGGCGATGAATCGTTATAGACTGTGCCGGCCAGCTAGAATTATTCATGTGCCAAATATAAGCCTCTTTTTTTCCTCTGGTTTTTGGTAGTGTGGTTGGGTAAACATACATACATACTTTTTTCATCAGCACTGAATCTGGTTTCCGGGAGGAGTCCGTCATACTTGCAAAGGGAGAAACTGTGTATTTTTTTTCCCTTAAGGCCACTCACATATTTTTGCTCTCCACATTCCATCGCTTCCATTTGCTGTACCCGGCCATACCCTTTGCTTTTCTTGCACAAACGTCTGATGAGGTCTCATCGCCTGCCTTGCATTCAGAGACTCACCAGCAGGCATAAACGAGATCTTTCGGAGTGGGGTCGACCACATGTCACAATGAAGTGTGCTACCACATCATACATGTCTAATCTCATTCTTTTATATATCTTTCTCCCCTGTGTGCTGAAAGCCCTTTCCTGGGACGGGCTCGCAAAATTCCTAAAATATCGAAAATGGCGTTTTTTCTCAAATCTTTGCATGTACATGAAGTGAAACTCTTCAAAACTTTCTTTCCATGGGTGGTGGTCAACAATATTCCCGAAGCTATCATATTTGAAGTTAGCAATTCTCTAGGACTTAAATTCCTGACCAGGGGAACAGCTTACTGAGAAGCCGGTGGCCACTGTCGAAATCAAAATTGACAGCACTCACCATGCTCTCCCTATTTTATTGGAACAAGTGGAAAAATAACAATATCCGCCCACCCTGCCCGCTTGATAACCGAACGCAACATAACGGATGTGATGTCATTTCCTATATTGACTTGAACATAGATTGAAGATAATAGTCCTCATGTAGACGAGAGGGGAGGGTAAAGATAGTTAAATTTGGATGGCTGTAAGAAGGCTTACTCTACTCCGATATGCTTATCTCAATCGGCGCAATACTTTTGAGGAATGTGCTCACCTAACTAGGATTGCCTCTGGCTTGACAAATTTATTGCGAATTGCAGCTCTATCTATACCGAGAAGATCCGGAGAATGAATGTATATGAACACGTGGATCCTGGCCCCTCACCTGGTTCATGCTCGACTAACAGAGTCCACTATAAAATACTAATGATACTTCTATAGAATTCATTTCCTCTCTTCAATTCCTTCTTCTGCATCACCAGGAGGTTTTCTGGCGGTTAGAATTTCGTCCACAATCCCCATCTCAAGAGCTGTCTCTGCACCCATGAATAAATCTCGTTCCATGATCTTCTCGATCTCATCCAGGGTGTGTTGCTTGGTCAGATGCTTCTGGTAAATCATATTCAAGCGCTCACGAACCCGGAGGATCTCTTTGGCATGAATGGCAATGTCCCTATACATGTTAGTGGAAGAACCTAGTCCTCAGTAAGGGTGACATACGAAGCCTGTCCCGAAAACCCACCACCTAGAGTAATTGTATCAGATTAGCGTCTATACCACATACATTTGGGCATGATAGAAGTCACATACTCGGCTGGTGCAGCATAATACTGCTATGTGGTAACGCATACCTCCTCCCCTTTGCCCCACCCGCAAGAAGTAAACTCCCCATACTGGCAGCCTGACCTATACATATGGTGGACACTGGAGCTTGGATGTAGTTCATTGTATCATAGATTGCCAAGCCCGCGGTGACGGAACCGCCGGGGGAGTTGATATACAGGTTTACGGGTTTCTCTGGGTTCTCAGCTTCGAGGAAGAGGAGTTGGGCAACGATGACGGCGGATAGGCCATCGTGGACGGGGCCATTGAGGCAGACGATACGTTCCTGTTGGTTGGGCAGTCAGTTGGGTGTTCGAGTCATCGGAGTGAGGAGAGAGGTGCGCCTTGAGGAGTCGGGAGAAGATATCATCTAACTTATGAAAGGGGGGTTACTATAGCTGCGGCAGGGTCTGTTTAGCTTTTCAGGAGATGGGTATGAGACATACACGAATGCCAGCCGCCACCAACGGACTCGTGAACTATTGGGGGTGGGGTGTACCAGTCCTGCAGGCGGGATGTTGAGGATAGGCATCGGAAGGAGCTTGGGGCCGGAGCGGCCCTCAATTGACTTCGGGCGCGTAGGAGGGCGGGTAGTATTGTCCGTAGGGCTGTCATCGCGGGGGTGGGGGGTCTTTTGGTGGGGTTAATGGGTCGGAGATGCTGAGTGCCGAGCCAAGCATCTCAGCCCCAAGTATGTGATATATGTACTGTACTCCGTATGTAGAATATATTGGTTTGCCTTCATGTGGAATATATTTTTTTACATATTCCCAAACATCTCTGTATGGGTTATATGTGGTCTCAGGCAGTGCATTTTTTTTGGTTGTAAATAACGTCGCCCTGAATTTTTAATGTGAGAACCTCCGCCGTAGGCCACCGTTGTAAGCCCCCCCCACAAGCCTCACGCAAGCATCTCACCACAAAGCTTGGAGCACATCGGCAGTGTATCGGCATCACGGAGCTACCGCACAGGTATTACATCTATACCCCACCACAATAATATACAGCCATGACGTCTCCGCCATTGGGAAACTTGGATCTAGAGACGGATTCCCCTTGGGGTGATGAATGCTCGATAAACACTCGCACCCCACCAATCTCACAACCACAGGCAGATGCCCTACAGTCATCTACAGGTACCTGTTTATCTCTTCTACTTGTGACGTATATCCCAGCATTCAGCAGCTAACTGGCTCGATATTGTTACCCCAAAGGCGGACCATCCCTTCCATCATCTGATAGCAAGCCTTCAGACATCTCTGCACCCGTCTCTCGCCTACTCGCATCCAAATCCAGGCCATCCCGCCGCCCCGGACAAGCTGCAGTCGTAAAGCTGGAGGCACTCGACGACGAACTCGGGCCCCTTGGCCCACTGGGGGATAACTTCATCAGCCCAGAGCCTTCTCCCGCAATCATCCATGATCAGCCACCCAAACCGCCTCACAAAGAGCTAGGTTCAAAGCCAAAGAGGATGCCGTATAAAGGGGATGGGCAACTTGATGTAGTTGCACTGAATGAAGATGATGAGGATGTTGGGGTGAGGAGGATTCATGGGAAGGTTCCCCCGCCAGTGGAGGGACCTGCTGGGCCAGGTGGTGCGAGAGCTGGGCCATTGAGTCAGCCGATTGAACAGGCGGCGTATCCGACGTTTGAGATCATTGTGGGGGATCCGCATAAAGTTGGGGATTTGACTAGTGCCCATATTGTTTACTCCGTTAGGACGAAGGTGAGTACACCCAAACATCTTGACCGGGTGGCAAACATCTTACAACAATGTCTACGTGTGTGTGTGGAGAATAGACTTCGTCTAAAGCCTACAAGCAGCCAGAATTTACAGTCACACGGAGATATCGCGATTTCCTCTGGTTGTATAACCAATTGATTACGAATAACCCTGGTGTTGTCGTTCCCCCTCCCCCAGAGAAGCAGGCTGTTGGAAGGTTTGATAATAATTTCGTAGAGTCGAGGAGAGCGGCCTTGGAGAGGATGTTGAATAAGTCAGCTGCGCATCCGATTCTGCAGCATGATGCGGATTTAAAGCTCTTTTTAGAATCGGAGGCGTTTAATGTGGATGTCAAGCACAAAGAGAAGCAGGCTACGCCTGCGGCGGAGAGTAAAGGGATGTTTGGATCTTTGGGATTTGGAGGGGGTTTGACGGGCAAGTTTGTAGAGAGTGATGAGGTGAGTGGTATTTTTAATGCTGGGCTTTCTGTTCTGGCTAATAATTGGCTACGTGTAGTTTTTCCATGACCGAAAGCTGTACCTTGATGCCCTTGAGGTTCAACTTAAGGCGCTTCTAAAGGCAGTCGATACTGTCGTTGCCCAGCGCAAGGCCCTCTCCGACGCGGCTGGAGACTTTGCCTCATCCCTCTCCGCCCTCGCCACAGTCGAGCTCTCCCGAAACCTCTCCTCTCCCTTGGAATCTCTTTCCGATCTCCAAATTCGGATCAAGGAACTCCACGACCGTCAAGCACAGCAAGATGTCCTCACCCTTGGTATTACCATTGATGAATATATTCGTTTAATATCCTCCATCAAACTCGCTTTCCAACAGCGTCAAAAAGCATTTCATACTTGGCATGCAGCAGAAAGTGAGTTTGCAAAGAAGAGAGGGAATATGGAGAAGCTGCAGAGACAGGGGAAGACGCAGCAGGATAGATTAAGTCAGTTGGGGGCGGAGGTGGCTGAGGCAGAGAAAAGGGTTAATCAAGCTAGGGTGGCATTTGAGGAAATGGGAAGGTTGATGAAGAATGAGTTGGACAGGTTTGAGAAAGAGAAGGTGGAGGATTTCAAGAGCGGAGTCGAGACGTTCTTGGAGAGTTCAGTTGAGGCTCAGAAGGAGGTGAGTTCAGAATTCAGCTCTCAGGATGAATGAATCTTTATGCCATTGCTAATGCTTTGACTTAGCTTATTGAGATCTGGGAAACATATTTGCTTCAAATGGATCGAGAGGAGGATGAAGCATTGTCTTATCAACCTCAGGGAGAGCCGGCACCACGGCCACCTCCACCACCTCAGCAGGATTAGGAATAAGCTGCAGCGGATGGGGTTCCATAGTGGTTGAGGCAGCAAAAGGTCCCTGATTTCTCTTGTCATCGGTAATTCGGTAATCTGGGCAGCTCTTGATGGATGTGTTTTTCTGATGAGTGGAGGAGGCGAAAGATCAAATTTTCCTTCCTACTGTGTCTCGTTCTCAGTAGTTCCGTCATTTGGAGCCCAGATCTTCATTGATCTGGATGTAAGATACTCCTTTTTATAATTCCATATTTCCATATTTTGCAACTGTGCAAGATAAGACAAATAAATCACCTAGGGCGGCGAGATGCTTCACTTTGAGGGTGATATAGAAATGCTGGTTAATATTAACAGAAGAAGTTATACAGGTTACCCGCTGGCCTCGTTTAATGTTCTTTCTAGCCCTTCCCACCCCACCTTTACCCCTTCTTCCGCTTGCGAGATGCTGTCTAAATAAGGATTGCTATACATTTGGTGATTGAAT